GTCACGGGTATTGACATCAGCTCCCGCAAGGGGAACTCCGAACGCTCCCCATCTCCCAGCCCCAGGGGGTCATCATCTCTCCCCAAACCCCCCCACCCACACCGCAGTAATCTCTGGTATTCTGCAGCAGCAATGCATTTTTCAAGCCCAGGGAAAGGCTCAGCGAAAAGCCCACAGAAAGCTGATTGCTCTCCGTCGAGCAGCGTGAGAGCTTTCTCCAGGGGGCTCCTGTGCCCCAGCTGCCAGTCTGGAAATGGTGAGAGCCTGAATCCTTGCAGCCTGGTACCACCAAGCCCCACACATCGCCTGCTCGCTGCTGGCCTCTTGCAACCCCAACTTGTTCCCCTGGGCAGAAATGCAGCATAAATAGTGGCAGAGGCTGCAGCCCCACTTCAAAGCCTCCTAGAGCAAGGAAATAGCAGCTGCAGGTAGGGCAGCTGGGTTTTCTGAGTATCGGAGAGCAAGGAAGGCCCCAAAAGGTTTTACTCAGGGTGCCCAAACTCACAGCCAGAGCATTTTGGTGTGGAAACTTCCTTCTCTCCCATCCCAGCATCATACCGCTGATTTCACATCTCCCTCCCAACAGGAACCGAGCTGAGCTGCTATGACTTCTGCACTTCCTTTTTCTTTCTTTTTTTTTTTTTTAATTATTTAAAGCTTTCCCTGAAATATGCACAACCACAAAAGCAAAGATGAAGCGAAAACGAAGCGGGGCTGGGAGGACATTGGGCTGCTGCAACAACTCTGCGGGAAGGCGCTGCGGCACGTCGGGATGCTCCAGGGGATGCTGGAGCCGAGCTGCAAAAGTTCTCGAGATGGACCCCGCTGCCACGGGAGCCGGGCTGGGAGCTGCAGCCCGCCTGGCAGCAACAACACTGCTCCTCAGAGCCCAGGAACAGCAAATGGGTTTCAGATGGGCCACTGAGGAGCTGCCACAGCCCCGGCGCCACTCGCAGACCCAGCGCCTGCAGCGAGCGAGCCGCTGCCCAGCATCGCCGCCAGGTTCCCCCGCAGCTGAGCACTACCCAGCTCCTGCAGGAGCCAACACCAGCCTCTGCAGGCCGAGCTGGATCCCTGAGTAAAGCAAATAGAACAGAAGGGCTGCCTTAACCCTGCTTCAGACCCAGGCATCATTGTCTTCATTAAATCCCCATCTTTCTTTTTACCCCTACCCAAAATGGGAAGGTTTCCTAGCGAGCTCATGGGCAAGCCCTTAAATTCCAGCCACCCCAGTTGCTTGTCCAGTCACCGCACCCCACACCCTCCCTGGCACCGTTCTGCACCACGGCCACACGTGATCCTGCCAAGTCACCGGCTTTCCCCGCACTCCAGCTTACATAAAGAGGAACAAACTCGCTTTTCTTCACCACCCTTTCAATGCTGCCATTCATCCCTGCCCTCCACCCTCCCAGTGCCACCTGGAGGGATTCAAAGTGCACAGCCAAATCCCTCCACAAATTATCTAAGGGAAACTTTTTGCCCCATGGGTTGTCCGTGGGTGATGGCTCTACAATTTTGTCCCAAAATGTGAATTAAACAGTTAAAGCAAAAATTTCCGAGATGCAAAGGAATCCATGAGTTAAGGACTCTCCGTACCCTGGCAAAGCCATGCCACTGCTCAAAAAGCAAAGAGCTCTGAGGCCTGACAGCCCTTCCCTGGAGCATGCAGGGGCTGTGGGGACAGGTCACATACCTCGTGATGTAGAGGTGAGTACTGCATCGAACAGCAAGGGACCCCATCTGTCAAATGGCTGCACAAAGACTTCGGTTGTGACGCTGAGCAAGCACAAAAGCTGGTTGCAGTTCCACCTGGGAACACCTCGGTCAAACCCCGGGTTATTTTTGCATCTGCACTTCGGTTCTGCCTGGTTGGAGACACCGGGCTGGCTTTTGCCAAGTGGTCAACCCCAGGGAAAAGGAAGCCAGAAGGGGAACAGGACATAATTTTGCAGGCTGAGCATGAAACGACAAAGCCAGGTTTATTTAGACACAAGTAGGCCACTTCAAAGCATTTTTCTATCCCTTATAAAATCAGTACTGGCATCAAAGCCATCTAAACTCGGGATTTTTAGCCCCTCTCCTGACTTGAGTCCAGCACGGATGCATACTGCCTGCCTTTGCCAGTCATTCTGCCATTGCTTGTCAAATACCGAATTCCAGCTCATTTAGAAAACCAGGGAGAGGAAGCACAGCTGGTTTGAACTCTTTGTCCTCCCCCTCCCCAACCCCTCCACTTTTACATCATCAGAACCGAGCAAGAAACCCACAAAAAATGCACATTCCCGAAGCCGGAGGCTCTGTCCCAGTTCTGGCAACGCAGTGGTCTCACCACAAAGCTCAGCGCAGCCTGGATCGCCTTGGACTCCGTAACAATACATTCACAGTGGTGGAAGGGTGGGGAGGGAGGGCTTCAAAAGAAAAAGCAGCGAGGAACAAGCTATTTGCAAGCCAGAAGCCACCCACTGCAAAGCGACCCTCTCCATCGGAGCTTCTTGCTCCTCCCTGCAAGCGTTTTGGAGCGTGGCAAGGGGAAGCACAGAGAGCTCTGGCTGGGTGTGGGTCTGCAAAGATTGAAATTTCTTAAATGTAAAAGCAGGCTGGACTTGGGTGAAAGAGGGAAAGCATGGAAGACAGCCCTCTTGAACCATCCTTACCACCCTGACCACAACTACCGAGGGTGAAGCTGCTGGGGAAGGAGGAGCCTGCAGGCAGCTTCCCAGACCTTGCACATGGAGCACGATGGACCTAAGAGTGACTGGGGTGGTATTAGCACATAATGCTGGAATTTACCCACTTTGCCCAGCTTTGTGGGTGGACACAGGAGGGGGGTTAGCGCAGAGTCCCCTCTCTGAGGTTTGCAAAGGGAGGGAGGGAGGGTTTTTTCTTCTCCTGCTGTTAAAATTACAAGGCAGATGGAAAGAGGGGATGCTCTCCCATCATGCAGCTGCTGGGTAGATTTGCAGCCACCCTGCGTGTTCTCTGCCAATTGCACCACCACCAAAAATGAGAGTCGAGAGGGGTAACACCCTGCAACCAATTCCTCCTCTGCCCACAACAAGCGACTTACAGCCGGGGACCATGGAAAGATGCTCTTGCTCTGCCTTGGACAAGCCACAGCCATGAATCACAGGGAGGCTGCAGGTGAGGATGCAGCTGCAGCTGCTTTGCAGGACGAGCATCACGGGGGGCACATGGGCTGAGCACAGTTCAGAGGGGCAGGAAGAGACAGGGCTCGGTCAAGAGGCGTAGGGGAAGCAGCTGGAAGGAAGTTTGCACAGCTCATGCTATGCTGCGCTTGGCAGCGCATCTGCGCAATGTTCCCAGCTGCCCACGTCTGCAAATACTAAACATCAATTAAATTGAAATTAAAAGAAAAAAAAATAAACACGTTGTAATGACAACAGCCTAAAACATCCATGCTGTATCTTTGAAGAGCAGGATGAACCCGCCCTGAAGAAATGTAAATATCACAGGAACCGTGAGACTCTCGGGATTACTCATTACAGGAGACGAAGAGTCTCAACATTTTTCTGTTTTTCAGCGATTAGCTTGTAATTGAAAAAAAAAATGAATAGATCAACACTTTTCTATTATTAGTTTTAAATAATGACTCAGAAACAGGAACTTCCTTTTTCCCCAAGCTGTGAAGATCTAAGCACTAAGAATCAGATCATGGCTTCAGGCTCATTTAAACTGCAAATATCTCTGCAGAAATTACAGGAGAGTGCTGTGAATACAATGAGAAACAGATTCTTTGCCTCCAGCATAACTACTTGCTATTACCTTTCACTTAAAGATTAAAAAGCTTGATGCAGCCTATTTACCAGGAAGAGAGCACTATGCCAAGACGACACATGTACAGAGGTTGGAGAAGTAAAGAAATGGGGAGGAAAAGTCATGCCTGCTGATGGCCTCCGAGAGAAACTGAGAAAATGTAGCTCAGAAGAGCCTGCCCAGAACACAAAGCTGCCTCACAAAGCCTGAACCTGGGCTTTAATCACTGATACCATTCACAGCTCAAGAAGTAATTAAGCATTTCAGCTCTAAAGGAGTTCCCTGCCCAATCTGCAACGCAGACTGTTTTTGCAGAGCAATTCAGAGAGAAGCAGATTCAGCTGATTAGATACAAAAAGTGTCTCTAAAAGCATTAATTTCCTTTGGGAAGCAGCCCACAGGCTCCTAGCACAGTGGGCAACCATCACTCCTGCAGCAGGTCCCAGCGAGGCAGATGATTAAATCTGCATCAGTCAGTTGGTATAAACAGAAATGCAGCGGATGAGGATGCAGTGTCACAAGCAATAGTCAGCACTCTGAAAACAAATGAATTTTGAAACAGCCTTGGCACACATCAATTGAAAGCAATCTTTTGGGGTTTTATTCTTTCTGGGATAAGTATCTGCACCCCTGCCCCGTCCCCTTAAAACACTCACAGTGGTGGGGGTGTAACACAGCAGTGACTAGGTCATGGAGCAGCAGACCTCAGCCCCATAGTGCAACAGGATGAACTGTTCCTGCCTCAGCTGCTGTGGTGTAGAGCTGCGATGCTGATTTTTTTCATCCAGGAGCATGCTCTGCCGATCCACGTTGGCCACAACCCCCAAAAGGACCATTGTGGGAGATGCAAGGCATGGAAGCAGGGGCTGTGCAAATATGTTTTTGGAAAGCAGAGCCCCTCCACCACTTTGCTGCAAGTGGAAGCAGTGCAGGGGTGCTGGGCTGGCCACGGGTGTTGGCATCAGTGCTCCCAACAGCCACTTCCCTTCGGCGACCCCAGCTGCGAGCATCACCAGAGCTCTAGTACTTTTCCAGGGACATTTGGCAGAGTCAAAGAGCTGCCCCAGCTGCATTGCATCCAGCTCAGAACAACCGTGAGCAGACGTGGCAGGTAAAAGGCACTACTGACAAACCCAGCTCCCAAAGAGATTCGAGTGCTCTGCCAACACCACACCTCCAGCACAAACAGCCCCGAGACAACACAGAGAGGCAGATGCACCACTTCGTTTTTTTTTTCTTTGACTTTTTGTTTTTTTATTCCTTCCTTTCCTTTGCCACAACACACGCTTCGTATTAAATATCTTAAATATATTAATTTTAAAAAAGTATTAATAAAAAGCTACTGAAGGACACAGCTGGCAGAGTGATCATGGGCAGCAACCCATTGCAAACATGGGGACATTAAAAAAAAAAAAAGAAAACCCAGAAAACAATGATAAAAAACAGGCTTTTTTTTTTTTTTGCATATGCACAGCTGGCTGGAATATCCTGGACTCCAGCATTATTGCAAAAATGGAAGGGGAAGCAGTAGAAAAAATATATTCCATTGTACCAACCTGTACGGGGAAGGGAGTTAAGAGCAAAAATGAGGAGGCTTTAAACATTTTTGGTATTTCAGATGTTCCCTCCCACACCCACAGCCCAATCACTTTTAGTCTTTAAGCAAGTTTTCTGGCTTGGGGTAGCCAAAGAGTACAAAATCTGCTTCATAAAGCTTGTAGAGCTGCTGCCTCCAGGCCAGTGGGATTTTGGCAAACCAGTCATCCTCCCAGCTGCTGGCAGTCCTGTTCCTGTAGCTGGGGGGGAAGCGGAGCAGCCTGTCCACTTTGAGGAGCTGCAGTAGATAAGCAGCATCCTCATCCAGCGTCTCCAGCTTTCCAATAAAATCATAGTCTATCTGGCACGGGTGGCACAGCCGGTAAACCTGCCTCCAGTGCTCGTTGAAGGGGGCCATCTTCTCTGTCCTGGGATCCAGTAAGTACTGGATGAAGTCAGAAAAGGAGACTCTGAGGCCTGCCCCAAAGGCCTCGCTAACAGAGGTGGGAAGGTTGGTATGGTTGGAGTACAGCTTTAGCATGGGGACGGCAAAACGCCGGTAGAACTCCTCGTTCTCCAGCTCAAATTTGCTGCGGAAGGCAGAGATGAGGCGGACAAAAGGGTCCCGTACGAAGAGGAACTTCGTGTACTTCTTCAGCTTGATCTTCATGAGGTGCCGGGAGAACTTCCCGTAGCGACGCCAGAATTTGTTGAAAGTCAAGTGGGTGCTGGTGTTGTGAACGTGCTCCCGCGGGATATCCAGGGGGTTTCGGTAGGGAACCCCCTGGTCCAGCAGGCTCTCGCTCAGCACGATCATCACCCGTTTCCAGTTGGTGCAGGCCACCTTGGGGACGTAACAGTAGATGATGCCGTGGCGGTCGTCCACAATCAGGTGGTTGAGCTCATAGTTCGGGATGTCATCAAAGGAGCGCTCCTTGGTGGGGAAGGCGAAGCTGGAATTGGCACAGAACTCCCGCAATGTTCTCTGCCTCTCTATCTGCAGTTTCTCCTGGTCCAAGCTGTTTCTGGCATTGTGTGTAGACCAGTCGTAGCCCCGTACGTTCTCCTCCAAATTGCTCACCACAGGCTTGCTGGAGCCCTGGACGAGCAGCTGCTCTGTCTTTCGGGAGGTAGAGCTGTTCTGTTTCAGGTTTGAACTAAGCAGCTTGGCCAAAAATTCATCCACTTCTGGCAAGGCTTCCCAATCTCCACCTGCAGTGATACCAGGGATGGCCCCTGGGGAGTGAGGCCTGGAAAAGGACGTGTGCAGGTAGAAGTGCGCCGTTCCCACGTTGTCCCAGTACACGATGATCAGGAGAATCATGAAGATGGAGACCAGCACCACAGAGAGACGGAGGAGCCGTGCTTTGGTCATCCTGACAGCTACTGCGATAGCTGACTTTCACTTGGGTTCACCTCCGGCTTGCAGAGTGAGGGTTGGGATCCAGCATGGTGCTGCAGACCAGGAGCCTGGAAAGATACCAGAAACAAAGTTAATTGATCCCTTAATCACTCCGTTTTGGAGAGAATGACCTTGCATGGGGCTGACCATCTGGTTCTATACAGGAAGAGCTGCGTGCTCCGCAGGTACCCATAGGGACTACACGGAGAAGCACTGATTCTCCTGGAGACAAAGCCTGACTTTCCCTCCTGTAGGTCGTCCCGTGGCAGTTTTAATAGTGTCTGGCTCTACAACTGCACAGATTGGGTCATCAGACCTCAAAGCATCCTGATAGCTGACTACAGCCTTTGTCTTCTGCTTCAGCTCTCACTAGCTCCTCCTTCCAGGGAGGACAAAAAATTGCATTTGTCCTGTGAACCAGGGACACAGTCAGGAAGGGATTTTGGGGCCCTCTGAATCCAGCCTGTAACTGACTTGAAAGCTCTGCGTTTATGGCCAAAAGGAGGCATAACAAGTTTACTGGTTTCCATAGTAATCTTGGTTTGTTCATCAACCTCAAGCTTCTTGAGTCACATGATTTCATGAGAAGCTGTTTTCATTTAAAAAAATAAATAAAATATTAAGATTTCAGGCCTCAAGTTTTCCGAGAGAAATCTGAGAGTATTCCAAAAATGCAACCGTATACGGAAAGTACACAGAACCAACTACCTTTCAGACCTCCTTGATTTACAAACATCTCAAATACAACAGGAGGAAAGAGGGCTTGAGCCATGACTTCAGCATCTGGTATCACACTGTGGTCTTGTCTCCCCTGTGAAGATGCTCTGCTCCACTGTGCTGAAAACTAGGTCCTTATCAGAGTTATAAATACGTAGCCGAAGATGCCAGTGCCTGAGTGGCTAAACACAGCCCCTGTTGACAGAATATCACCGACTCAACACACTGTTTTATCTCATCTGTGTGAAGGTACCCTGTAGATGTCACTTCCACCATATTTCTTGATAGCTACTTCATTTTATCAAGAACAGAGATTACACAAACAGTTTTCGTGTGAAAACTCACAGGGACACAGCCCCGATAACAGCCAAGCATCAATAAAAATCTAGAAGAACGATTATTTTTAACTGAATGATTTCTGAGGCTAACGATGCTCTGGTAAATCTGTCTGCGTCTGGCCTGTGTGTTGAGCCAGTACCTCCCCGTAGCTTACCATAACTGATGTTTCTGACTCACTTTTCCCTCACAGCTCTTGATCACCAAAGACAGGTGAGAAATCACTGGTAGAAAGGAAGTGAACAGAATCTTTCTTGGGGAGCAAAGTGATTTTCTTATCTTCAGCCAGTCCCATCCCTTCACTGCTGCCCGGTGCTTCCTTGCTGCCTCCCAGCCCCTCTCTACCTGCAGGTTCCCCCAGGAGATGTCTCCCCATCCTGCCGCGTGTTTTCTGCACTGTGAGGCTCACTCCTCCCATCACCAGCTGGGGGAAAAGCTGAGAGCACCTGGCTGCCACAGGTGAAGCATCTCTGGGTGCCTGACAGAGGGTACAAGCAGCCAGACCTGCAAGAAGGAAACAAGGAACGTTTCCAGATAACTTCTCTTGGGCTCACACAGATGATCCATTTACCCCCAGCTCTGTCACAGGACCTCACATAAATCATTTAATCTCCGTGCCATTGGTTCTCCTGCCAAGGGCACCCATTCTACCTGTTTAGCTCCTAGGTTTGTCCAAGCACCGCAGGACTAAGGAGCAGGCACTGACAGCCATGGGTGAGTAACGCAGCGAAGCAAGGAGCAGCTAGCTGATGTTTTGAGAGAACCCAAGGTCAGCCGTTTGACACAAACCCTCTCTGCAAGGTTTACTGTGAAAAGCCAAGTGAAAATGTGGCTGCTCCACAATCTCCCTCTCCCCTTCAAGCACAGTCCAGCCCCCGATTATAAACCCAGAAGAGGACATACAGATCTAGGACAGGAGTTGCTCTTTCTGCAAACATCCCCATTCTGTTTAACGGCCTCAGCACAAACCCTACCAGCATCAGCTCTGAAAACAAAACCACTTTAAGCAGCCAGCAGCCTTGAAATGCTTTTCAAAATGAGGACTGGGTCTCTCTTCCCGCCCTAGACTGGAGAGATCATTCCCCAAAAAGCTGACATTCACACACAGCTCTTGAACAGCACCAACCCCACACCACATGGGGATGCAAAGAACCCCGGAGTCCAGGTCCACAGAAGAGCTGAGCCCCGTAGCCCCCACTGGGCAGTGTGCTCTGCTACTCTGAAACTCACAGAAGCATTAAATCACTGACTTGTCTGAGGGGCCATCTGCATGGCTGTGCTTACGCCTCAGGGATGCCAGATTTTAACAAGTCCTGGCTTCAAACACTAGACCAGAAGCATTGGGCCAGGATTTACTAATGAACAGGAGTGGTATCAGATACGGTTATATATCAAAGTATCGGCTCAGTTTGTCCCAAAAGACATAAAATGCAGAAGCGAAGGTTTGGGGTTTTTCCACCCTGGTGTATTTATTTACATTTTGGAGGTGGAGATTGCCAGAAATTCAGCGTAGCTGTAGCCTGCCACGTGGTTTCACGCTGCAACACCAAACACTGCGTTTCTTGGAGTCAGGCTCTTATTCTACATGTTAAAAGGAGCTGGAGGAACTGTGCAGACATAACACACAGTACCCTGCAGAGCAAGAAGCAGGTATTACTCAGCAGTAATTCCTTGCATTTATCTAGTTAAGGCTGAGCACGGGTCAGATCTGAGAACAATCACCCAGAGAGATGAGCACAGAGTTAAGGAAGGGGAAAATTATATACGTACGTCAGCACTTCAGGCCAAGCATCTCGGTCCAACAGCAGAAGATAATGGAGTGGTGCTGCCAAGCCTGCTGCTTGGCACATTCCTGGCTTCGCATTTTGCCTGAATCTGTTCTTGCTTTTGAGACAGCTAGCTGCTCAGCACAGGGAATGCTTCCTATTCTGTATGAATACGGTACCCGCTGCGCACCAAATCCCTAACGTACTGGCCTTCCAGCATCGCTCAAGACCTTGAGGGTGGCTGGAATAGAGCGAGTCTGGAAAGCTGCAGAGAGCATCCCTTTTTGCCATCCCCATACCCCGCAGCTCCCACAGCTTCGGGCCGCGCAGCAGCCTGCCAGCATTCCTGCGAAGCTGTCCCAGCCCCACGCAGACAGATCACCCTCATGGCGCTGATGGAAGCGAGCGAGGCGCTGTGTGTGGCAAGGCAGGCACATGCATTCCTTTGGGAAAACGGAAGGATGCTCTTCGTTAAAGCCACCGTGCTCACACAGCTTTACCCAGCGCACCCCAAGGGCTCGAGCCTGCTTTCCAGGACGCAGCACACAGGCCTGCCAGAGCATTCGGCTTTCCCAAGACACGCAGCAGTGAGCAGCACAGAATCAAAATGACTCCGCTTCCACTGACTCTGTCAGTGCCAGAGAGCAACCCTGGGAAAGAACAATAACGCAACTTAATTTCTCCTCCTGAGAAAGCTGCTGCAGAACACAGAGTTACTCTGTTGACTACGATACATCCTCTTTCCGAGCACTTCATAAAAGACGCCAGATTGAAAGCACAAATTAGAGGTCTCTGAGCACATCAGAGGGAATGTGCCTTCATCCTCCCCTTGCCAGAATCAAAAGGAAAAGCCTCCAGGAGAAGCCAAGAATTTACATTCAAGTTTAACCCAAAGTCACCAGCCAACAAGAATGTGCACCGGGATGCACACAAAGCTGCTTCTGTGACACGATGCCGGCAAACTGGGAAACAGACCAAGTGCTATAATCATCCTGCACAGCCTCCTGAACAGCCATAACAGGATTATCTCCAACCTGAGCATGGCCTGGGTGCGAACCAATGACTCTTCTCTCCATCCCAGGCCTGAAAAAGACACCAAGGTGCAAGGTCACTGCTGGCATCCTCTCCTATCACAAGCTGCCATGTCAAATACCTCTCTAGATTGCTCAAACTCCAGTCTAAAACCAGAAAGGAGGGGGGGGATGCATCCCCAGCACTCTTATTGCAAAAGCTATTGCAGATCCATCTCCTTGGGGATTTGGAAACCTTACTTGCACTTCACAGCCAGTTTGCAATCGTTTGTTCTCAGGGCAAACGGCAGCTTAAGTAATCCCTGTCTCTTTCTTCCTGTCTTCTCTACAACATATCCGTGCAGTGACTACATTCTTTCGCTGCCTCTCTTCGCAAAAGAAAGTAACTCCAGATCTGCTCGTTCCCTTGCTGGAGCAGTAAGGTCTACAGAACATGAAAGAGTGAGCATGTACACGTACAGGTACATACTAGGGACAGTGGACATAATCCCAATCTGTTAACACCAATAGTTTCTAAAGAACTGTGCCTCCAAAGGCTTCAGCGCAGCTTCCACCTCTTCTCTCTGCTCTGTATTTCCCCACGTTTGCCCTTCTCACACTGCTCCCAGGTCCCTCTGAGGACTCACAGGCCACAAATCAGGCACTAAGCACCCGCTCACCTGCTCTAGGGCCCATTCATTCAAATGCAGGAAGCTACAAGATGTCAGATAGCTTGTTCAGGCTTTGGCTGCTTCTGAAGGTACAACAGGGAGGAAAGAAAACTTTTAAAAACACACCAAAAAAACTTAAACCAACACTTTCCTTGCAGCACCTTCCTTCAGCAGCAGTCACTTGACCCATGCAGCCTTCTTTACGCATGTGTAGTGGCACACTGCTGGTACTGGTTAGGCTCAAGCAGTAAGCAGGCTCCGGAGCAGGAAAACCAAACTAACCTCTCTGTAGGTGCGGAAGAACGAGCTCCTCTCATCCATAACAAAACTACAACGCACTAAGAACCAGAAAAGAATTTCACACACTCGGCCATCACTCAACAAATTGCTTCTCCAACAGCTTTCCAGTATCTGGTGTACTTTGCAGACGAGGGAAGTTTTAGTCCATGTAATATCATTCACTATCTACACACGTGCATGCTGTAAGAAAAAAAAAAGTGCTTGCATTGCCTGTTTTACCCCAGCTTAGCACATGTATGCTAGAGACCAGCAAAAGAACATCTTAATCAAGGTAGCCGTGCCAGCACCTCCCCTCCCACAAAGCCTGGTTTGTACAGCCTTGGCAGCGCCAGGCTCCTCTTTTTTAGCACCCATTTTAGGAAACTGTCCCCATAACCATCCTTCTACCCCTTCCAGCAGGGAACACGCCGAAGGCAGCCCGTTCTGTCCATTCACTCGCTGCATTTGTTGTGAGCCTGAAGCACTCCCACAGCTCCCGGCCTTAACACCTGCGGAAGAGTCTGAGCGCGTCCCGGTGCCTGCAGCACAGCCCTGGGACAGCTGTGGTGTGCCAGCAGCAGCTCCCTGCAACTCACCCCATCCGCGTCTGCTCTGGGAACGCTTTATTAAAGCGCAGCCTTCTCCTGCTCGTAGCCCAGCTCTGAAGCTTTTCTCTTTTAAAGTTCAGATGTGAGGGCTGGCCGTGCTGGGTGAGCCATGACCGCGATGGGAGCCGCTCCTCCAGGGGCTCTGCTCCCAGCCTGTGCTCCGGGGGCTGAAGGTGGCGGGTCCTGAGGCGGCCGGGACTCGGGGCACAGCCCGGGGGGACAGGGGGACAGGAGGGGGGACAGGGGGACAGGAGGGGGACAGGGGGACAGGAGCTGCCTCAAAGCTTGGAGATTTGGTGGGGGTGGAGGCACCGAGGGGAAGGCGAGCGGGGCCGTGCAGCCCTACCTGCTGCCCGGGCTGGGCGCTGATGGGAGAGCGGGGGCTGCTGCTGGCGGCGGGATGGAGTCACCGGAGGGCCCGTCCGTCCCTCTGTCCGTCCCTCTGTCTGTCCGTCCCGTCCCCACTGCAAGCACCGAGCCCCGCGCCCTGAGCCCGGCCCGCCCCCGCCGTGGGCGGCTCCGCGCTCACCTCCGCCCGGGCGGCGGCGGCGGCGCCTTCCTCCTCCTCCTCTTTCTCCTCCTCCTCCTCCCCCTTCTTTTCGCCTTCCTCCTCCTCCTCCTCCTCCTCCTCCTCGGCCCTCTCGCGAGACGCCGGGCACCGGGGGTCCCCCCTCAGGGCCGCGGCGCAGGCGCCGCTCCGCCCGCAGCCTTCAGGGCCCGGCCCCGGAGCCGTGGGGGGGGACACCCGGGGAAGGGCTCTCGGCTCCCCTCAGGGCTCCCCGAAACGTGGCCGCCTCGCCAGCTCGTCCCGTTGGGCAGGGAGAGGCTGGGGGAGCGTTGTTAGCCGGGGGCGTGCTGGTAGATTGGTCACAGGCAGCGTGCCCGTGGGGGAGTGTTTGGGGAGAAGGAGCGAAGCCTCTCTTGTGACAGCACGGGGACAGGACAGCCAGAGATGGATGTGAGGGCAGTCATCCTCGTCCTGACATGAGCACAGCATCCTGAGGCATCTGTGTGCTGGAGCTCACATTTACATGCAGCCACTTGAAGCTTCTTGAGGGGAGAAAGAAACTGTGCAGCTGCTTGGGTTCTGTCCCACTGGGCCCTTTAGAGCAGGGCACAGCACGGCTAGGAAGTGCTGCTCGAAAAGCCCAGAACAGCTTCAACTCCCTTTTCTGCTCCTACCCGTTGTGACCAAGAACCAAATCCCCAGAAAAGGAGCAGGGCCCTGCTTTGTGCAGGAGCTGGGTCTGGGACGTGGGCTGGAGCCTCGGTTATAGCAATCCTCCAAGCTGCAAAGCACATTGACGCATTCCACCTCTGAGATCTCAATGGCCAAGTTTTACATTTATTTGCATAGGCTTAAAATATAGGTTTTACAAACAGGAAAATTAGCACATCGTTAGTCCCGTGCTCTTTACAACAGTCATGGCAAATTATCAAACCGTTGTTACGCAACCCCCATATAGAGATGGAGCCTCAGTGCCGTGCATTAGACTCAAACATGCCAGTCTCTGCTTCAAATAGCTCTGAACACTGCAACTTTTCATGGTGATTCAGCCCAAAGGTATTTAGTGGAGATGTGTGCACTTGGAAAACTTGATTTTCCTTCGTTTTTGGTCCTTCAGTGCCTGCAGGTCACGTGAGGTCTTGTAAATAGCGGCTTGGCTCGAGACTGGCTGGCCTGGGTTTGTTTTACACACACACTGGGTTTATTTTATCTGTCAGCCATTTTTTTATATCTTTGTTTAGGTGAAATAGATAAGCAAACAGACAGGTTTTCCTGATCGTTCTATTTTGCAATTGCACCTCTTCCTGCTTCTTCCTGTTTAATTAGGAAAATCAGCCGCCTTCTTATGCCAGTTTATGCACTTGTATTGCATCTCACTTCAACAGTTTATGGCATTTTATAAACAAAGTAAAATAAGTTTCCGTAGCCCTGGAGTGAACTATCCCTCATCTTCTGAACAGGTAGCAAAGCAAGAGGCTGAGGGATAGGGAAGGTGAGCGGTGTCACAGCAAGTGAGAAAGAGCACGTAGGAGAATTCTTTGCGAGTGCTGCAGCTGTAAATATGTTCTTGAACTGTTTGAGAAGTGCATGGACCTACCAGAGACTGGCATCTTAAACACTTTGGCAGACCCAGGAGAAAGCACTTTATTTGAAACATCTTTAAAAAGTAGGAACCCGCTTAAAAAATTTAAAAAGTCCCTTATGCTGACTGGAGATTTTATTTTTTTTTTTTTCCAAAAATAAAAACATTTCAGCCATTGACCTCCAGGTCACCTCTTATCAGGGTCTTCACCTATCACCATGCTGCTTCTCCTGGCTGCAGTCCGATCCAAAATGCTACTTAGGTGGAAAAGAGCTTAGAGCAGTGTCTGGCTGCTCTCACAGCCAAACATCTGCTCACCCAAACAGCATTCCAGGCGTGCACTGCACCTCCCCACCTTACAGCAACACACGGGGACAGCAGGGAAGAAAACCAAAGGTGTTTCTCAGGCATTTACATTTGGTTTGAATAATCAGGGAACCTTTTGGGCGCATGGGTGGCATCCACACCTTTTTCCTGGGAGAAAGGCAGCTTGGGCTCCACGCTGACATCTGGGAGGAGAACACTGCTGGGAAAAAGATGTTTTCCTCTTCTCTTGGACTCTGTTTACACCTTAGTTGTCTTTAATTAAAGCTAACAGCTACAGCACGCAGTACAGAAGAAAGACTTGAGGTAGGGGTATAGAGAAAGCCACGTCCAAATGTAAGGTCCCTCTCTGCTAACCTTCCCTCTGCTTTCCAGCATCACAACACAAGCTGAAATAGATTTTAAGGCATGCTACCCCTGCACCCACTTCCCTTACTTCTGACAGTCCCCAGACTGCACTCCCTTAGGGCCAGGAGCAGTCCTGCTCCCCTGGTGACTTTTATCCAGTCCTCTGCTCCTTCCCCACATGGGTGAAAAGCCGCTGCTTTTGGCGGCTGCTGGCACCATCTGCAGGCCCTGCACAGGAGGGAAGTGAAGAACTCGACCAAGTTTCTCCGCTTCGGTTTGAGTCTCCTTGCTGGTCAGAAAGGAAAGAAGCGGATTGCCATGAGCTCAGCAGAGGTGAGATCTGCAAGGGCCCGAGATTTGCACATCGTTGTCTTGAGAATTTCCCAAGGCAATGCGTTCAGTGGAAGCAGTGCATTGTCACATGGCTGATTCAGATTAAATTTTGTACTCTGAACATGGATTAAACTAGGATTATGAACACCTCTGAACATGTTATTTTCTCTTCCTAAAAGGATTTTTTTTGGCTAAGAGGCTTGACAGAGTGTAACTCATTCTGGAGTATTGCCAATGTCATCTGTTGGGGAAAAAAAAAAAGGCTTCAGACTTGGCTGTAAAACAGACACCCGTGTGACTGCTTTCCCAAGTGGACAGTTTGTGTTGCATTTACAGCTCTTCAGGTTCAGACGGTAACAGAGCAACTGCTGAAGAATATCCTAGTGCCTTTTGAGCCAGCTGCCTGCTATTTCAGGTACTCACCCTTGATTTGCTTCTGTAGGACCCGTCCTTTGACAGGCAGAGTTGCTCTCCTGAGCAATGCCTCCTGGCAGCACTGGTGGTGGAGTCCCCTCTACCAAAACCAGGGAGAACTTCTTTATGATTGCAACAGAGCTGATGCACGGTGTCACCAGCTCTTCTGTGGCCCCTGCCTGAATGGGGAGTGATAGGAATTGGTACTGCAATTGGTGCTGTGTTTCTCTTTATGTAAAAATCACCGTAGCTCCACTGTGCCTGTGCCTCCTGCTCAGTCTGTTCCCATCAGGAAGAAACACCCTGTGGGAGTTTGGTTTGAGAGATTGAGATCTTCTCTTTCTGGCTGTCCTCACAGCGGGGATCTCCCAGCCCTCAGCACTCACCTGGTTGGGGAGCACAGCTGGCCCCCAGCTGCAGGCTCTGGCAGCAGACTCCTGATACTTATATTGATTTTCATCCAGCTCTCAGGGGTGAATTGGCCCCTGGACACCTCATTTTGAGCAAATCCTCCTCACATAAGGCAGCTGAGGAGACTTCACTCCCAGGGTCTCTGTGTTGGGCTCTGGAACAGCGACTGGCTGGGATGAGGGAGATGCTTTTGGTGCTGGCAGCAATTCCTTCAAGGTCTCCAGGCTCACAACAGCAGCGAAGTGTGCAGCTGGCTTTTTCCTGCGGGAACCTAGAGAGGTGGGGGAATGCAGCCTGGGAGTCACCTGCCCTGCAGCAACACCAGCCAGTTTCCACTACATATAAGACAGCTCCGTATCTGCTTTTCATCCAAAGCTCCTATACTTTTTCCCTTCAAAGCACTTGCAAGCATTCAGAAGGCAGTGTATTGGCCTGCAGCTCTTGTTGCCAAGCTCAAGCTCATGGGGCCTGCAGAGCAGCCTTAGCACCTCCTGCTGCTAATCCCTGCTGATTTGTCTGGGTAAAAGCCCCTCTGTCTGGGCAGCTTTTTCCTTGGCATTTGCTAAGTGCTGCTCCAGTTTTGACTGTAGGAGAGAGATAGGAGTTTGTCAAGGCAGCTCAGCTTCTCAGGATAACAAAGGCATCTTAACAAATCTCTGCTGTGCCCTTTATGCTGAGATTAAAGTAACATCTACATGAAGTATTTGGCTTACTCTAGCGGCAGCCACCACGTTTCAGTCAGGGCAGATACAGCTAGAGGCAGAGCTCTTGCACAGAGGAGCAAACAAACTTTAATATTAGTTACAAAAAAAATAATAACCAGAAGCAATTAGCAAAACATTGAACAGCCAGTGATTTTTATCCTCAAAACATCCCTGCCAGGGGAATATGGGAAGAATTAGGTCTCTAGTGGGCAAGCTCAGAGAGAGGATTTGGGATTTTCCTTCACCCTAAAACCCACAGGGATGGAGGCAGGATGCAAATATGAATGTTCTCCTTCTGTTCCTTCAGCAGCCCAAGGAGCCCAGCTGCAATACGTGTGCCATGCTGCATTCACAGTGCTAATCCTAAACCTTGAGAATCACAGAGTTAGGTTGCTGCCACCCTGCCCCAAGCACCACTGGGCAGAGATCGATCTTCTGGTGCTTCTTCACCTCCACACTACTCTGGGAGCCAGCTGCTTGGTCCCTGTGTGCATTTCTTCGTGGGAATCCTCTTACTTCTGCTGTCTCTTGGATTCAATCATGTGCTTAATAAATCTATTGTGTCTGCATGTGATTATATTATCAGCAATGAATAGTTTTCATTGTTACTGCTTTTGTGAGTATTAGGAGGATGCTGCATTGTAGGGACATCTCTTCCCCTTTCCTACCCACCAAAAAGAAAAAGATATCAGTTTTCTGTCCTCGTTGTCCAGAAATAACCTTGGGTATTGGTAGCAGAGGCTTCATATCTCATCCGTCAGAGGACTTGACTATTTTTCTTTTATTCCTTGCCAGATTCACTGACAAAAGGAACAATCCCTGGGGCAGAACAATCAATATTTTAAAAGCTTTGCCCTGCCTCCCTCGTGACTTTTTAAAATGTATCACAATGGGCCACACAACCCAGCTCCCTTTCCTGACGCAGTGTTGGTGCCTGTGATGACGCAAGCTACAAACTCCTCATTTCTCCATAACAAAACACGCTTCTCCCTAAAAGTCATGACTTTCCACAGCAAATACCACCCCTTGATATCAAAGCTCTTCTTCTCAGCAGCAGGTTTGTGTAATTTATTGGATTTTAATGTTGGGGAAGATGGTGAAAAGACTGAACGTGTTGTCCCTGACTGAATTCTGGGAAATTCCCAAAAAGCAACAGAGAAAAGCCAGGGACCTTGTGTCCACAGGGAAAACACAAAATCACAAAGAGTGAAAACCCTGAGTAGATCGTTGCTCATCATCCTTCACCCAGTAAGACTTCTCCTTTCATTCCTCCTTTCTACAGGTCCTCAGTTCCTCTCCCAGCACCAGCAGTCCCCACTGGGACATCCCCCACATGTTGCCCTCCAAACTGCTCTCGTCCATCCATCACTCCTTGTGTTCTGCACCCAGGTCTGTACCAGGCACATAATCCTCTGCCTTTCCATTGATCTGCCCCCTTGTTTTGTCCCTCGTATTCCTCTTCCCATCCACCACCCTCACAATTTGCTTTCAGCTGTTCCCTTCATCCGTTTTCCTTCTCCTCTCCCACTGTGTCACTCACACTGAGCCTCTGCTCCATCCTGCACCAACCCCCTGAAGTCTGCTCTCCGTTCATATGCTGCATCCTCCATTTCCACGATGCTTTTAAACTCCAGCCCCACTCCATGAGCTGTTTGCTCATTTACCTGCCTTGATGCTTTCAGCTTGATAGGCACAGCCCAAGGTCATTCACAATTCTTCAAAGGAGGTGCTGGCAGGGCTGAGGTGTGCAACCAGGCAGTCCTGCCCTTGTCCCCTAATGAGTCCTGGGGGGATGTGACAGCACTGTGGTCAGCACGGGGTGATGGGGGTGACGGGGGCTTGCTGCTCGGTTGTAAATGCTGTGGCTGGGCACCCTGCAAGCAGTTCATTGAGATTCTAGCAGAGAATCCCAATTAGGAGTGAAGGAAGTGCTGGTAAAAGACCATTCATTAGGCCCTCGTTCCGTCAACAGCAAAATCAATAACTAATTAACTTTTTACCAAAAGGAAAAAGAATTTTTGAAAGAAATTCACCATTTCTAAAGGAATGCTGGCAGCTTCTCCATTCTGCCTGCAGCAGAAGCCTTCCGCTTTTCTCCATCCCTTCTCCTCCCCGCCATCCTCTAGAGAACACATCTGTCAGGCAGCGTCAGGGGTAGCTCAGCACCGAGCCTTGAGGAAAGGTTCGTAAACAAAATTGTAAAGGATCCATAAAATAACCAGTGTAGCAAGAAGTGTGCCCGCGACCTTTCTGATTTCCTAAGGGATAGATGACTTATGACAGCACCATCACTCTCAGTCACTCTTCCTCCTGCCCCAATAACACCCAAATTTATTGGCCAATTTCAGCCAAACCTTACAGAAGAGATGAAACACTCAAAGGCTGTAAGGTTATAGAAATAACTGCTCACCTGTGCAGCAAAGCCCACTCGAAACCCCAAAGGAGTGCTCCAAGCCAGATAAAGACAGCACATGGAGACATTCAGGGACCATCTCTTGAGAACTGATTTGGGCAGTAATACCAGCAACAAGCACACCAAGCTCCTCGTTGACCCACGGTGTACGATACCTTCAACAACCACGAGTTTGCAGTCTTGAAAATCGACAAACTGGGTGCAGCTCCCCCCTTCCCACTCAAGGCCTCAATGCAGTTGCCCAGAGCCAGCAGCAAGTGGTTGATGTGGGCTCCTTCTTTCACTCCTTTGCCCTTGTTCTGGGTCTGGTTGGAGGGTGGGAAGGGAAGGGGGACAGAAGGACAATGTACACATTTCACAGTGGTGGCCCTGCTCTTGGAGAACACGTGCAGCATCGCCTGGGTCAAGATTTAGATGTCAAAGCAATGTCTCCAGCAAAGCCAACCTGAAAGCACAGGATTAAACCCTATACCAAGGCACAGAGCTGCAGGTAAGAGTAAGCCCTTCTCCTGCAAAAGGTGACCCAGCTCCAGTCTCTCAGTTCTTAAAGGATAGCTCTTCAATCTCTTCTAAAGATGATTTCCAACATTAAAATGCATAGCTGCACCACACCAAAAGTCCTGGTCTCAACAGAAATACTGGTTACTTAAAATCTCTCCCTCAAATCACCTCTCTGAGCTCCAGTGTTTCCTCCCTCCCCTAGGAGCCAGCTGCTTTATTTTCCACCCGCCAGCATCCGTCTGTTCTGCTGGTACCCGGCACGTTTTCTCTCAGAGGGCCCAGCTGCTCCCTAACTGAACTCAGCTGTGAAACGTGATGCTGCTTTCTCAGACCTGAAAAAGGCTGCACTCAAAAGCTGGGTTACGTTTTTCCAAGTAATACTTGTTCACCTAATAAAATATGTTAATTTATTTGTAGTGCTAATGTTAAATTGGTATTAATAATTGATGTTAATAGTAATAATAATAATAAAAAAACATGCCAAGACTTTTATTTATTTTTAGGCTGCTTGAGCTGCCAACCACTGCTCTAAAGCAACAGAGGAGCACGGAGTGCTGGTTTCTCCAGGGCTGAGGATGCCACAGAGCATGCCAGTGAATCCAGCTTCGTCTCACCAAAAGCTGCTGAGCTCTAGGAATACCTGGCTGTCCTTTCTGACCCTGATACTTGGGCTGCTCAGACACCCTCGTCTCCTCTTCCTTGTTAATGGTAAGATTTGTCTCCACTGATTCCATCCTAATTAAGCGACTCTTCAGACTTAGGAAAGCTTTAGCATTTAAGGAAGATCCACACTTCCCCATGAGAACAGCATTTTAATGCCTCAATCTTGTCCCTGCAGTAAGCAGTTAATTAGCAATATAACTCCCTTTGGTTTGTCCAGATGTATTTTATTCACCTGGAGCAGTGCAGCTACAGGAAGGACTTCACCTGTTAGACCATATAAAGAGAAATGGTTGCACTGTAGCCAGAAATGACTCCTCTTATCAGGCTTTTGGTCACGGACACATAATTCTTCCTAAATCTTTCAAAAAAGCATAAACTTACAGTCAGGCACTACAGCTGTCCAAATAATCTATACCTAATTGCATTCCCCATGATTTTCTCAGTAAGTTTTACAAAATTCCTGGGCTTTGGAACAATTTGTGAACAATTTGAATACTGACACATCAAAATAAGCAGAAAAGCACAGAGGTTTATTGAATTTTCTAAACACAAGCAAGATGCAAGAGCTTACTAAAATAGAGGTGTTTATATTTGTTTTCTTGGACTGTGAACATGGAATGCTTAGTTTATTTTTAATGAGTGCTGAAGAAGGGAGTAAATTCACTCCTTGACCTTCTCCTTTCTATTGAGAAGTGCCAGTGGGCCTCCAAAAACATGCCTTGGGTAGCGTGGAAGGGTGCTACGCTGGAGGTTCATGTGAAAGAAAATGGAATCTGAATTGTTTGTGATACATAAGGCTGCAGTCACGCTATGGTGATCACAAAATGCAGGTGCTGATTAAACCCTCACGCTGCACCTTACAGCTGGCTGCAACGCACAGCTCGGTCAGGGCGCTACCACTCAGTGCCTCAGCCTGTAAAACAAGAGGCACGAGAAAGAAGAGCGTGAGCAAGAGAGCTGAACAGCGTGGCAGTGACCTTGCTGGCTGGAGACCTCAGACCAAGCTCTTTATCCCTGCTCATGTGCCCTGCACTGGGGCAGTCCCAGCACGGGAGGGAGAGGCAGAATGAGTACTGTGAATCTCCCTGTGCTTTTTTTTCCTTGTTGGGATGTTCAGTTCTTACTCACCTGCCAAAAGCATTCATCTAAGGAGAGAAAACAATGTGAACATTAAGCCTTTGGGTAAAAAAAAATAGTGGAGGAGGATGTTAACTGGATTGCTTTGTGTTCAAAAACCATATCAAATACAAATGTTTTTTCCCAGGATCAATTAGACCAGTGTCATCAGGATGTTTGTTGGATTCATCAGGGCAATTCTCTGTTAAAAAATTAAGTCAGAATAAGAACTTTTATGTTTGGGTTTAGTTAACCTACCTGGATTTCCTACAGCACCATCACCATATCACCATGGCATCTCTTAATAAAAGGAATGTGGCACTACAGGTTTACATAGAAAACGCTTACATGCAGAATGCTGGGGATGAGAAGCTTTGTTCTGCAACTGAGTTCACAGCCTCTGTGGTTTGGAAAATGAGCTGCTGAAAAGTCCCTGGTGCAGTGAGTCACTGGCATTGGTATGTGTGGTGGCTGCAGTGACATTACATCCAACTAAACCCCATGCAGGCAGGGGGGCACGGGACCTCTTTTCTCCATTTTCAGCCAGGATTTGGACAGAGGAACTGTGACAGAATTCAATTATTTGGGAATAAATGTGCCTGACGCCACCTTCCAAACCTCTCCTGCAGATGGGCTGATAGAAACTTTTGCGCTGCTGAAGGACCAAGATGTCATGTTTGTGGCTCTCATTCAGGGAAAAACAAAGGGGGGAGAAGAGTTGCACCAGGTTACAGAACTGGTTCTGTTTCTCTACAGCCCCCCTAGGATCTACTTTGGCACATAAATATCATAGCACGTAATTACAGCATAGAAGGGCATTCTTTCTCCTCCACCGATATGGCCCAGGAGATGTTCAGGCCTCAAGGGAAGGGACAGAGAACCCTGTGACTTGTCCTCCAGAACAGCGTGCCCTCAGGTAAATAGATCATTAGATAAGCAATTAGAGCATAGACTGACTACTGCTTGTTCAGAATTACTGCTTTGGTGTGCCAGCTATGGCAAAGAGTCAAGGCTGTAGGACAAACGCCCATAAGAAATGCCAAGACTTTGATCGAGCTCTATTTATTTGCATTTCCTAGCAGGTATCTCTAGTTTTGATCTGCAAGTTTTCAGCTGCCAGAACCATATTTGTTCCTCTTTTGTTTTCACTAGTCCTTAAGAACTGAAGAAATCCAAGAGCAGGCACTGAGGGAAGCCCAGGTCCATGCTCAGCAGCCGCTGCCTGCACAAGGAGGGCTGGCACAGCCTCGTGCACATGCCAGCGTGGCACCAAGAGAAGTCCCTGGAGAACGCTCCCAGCCTGTTTCCTTCAGAAACTCGGTCCGTAACACTTTCTGACACCTTTGATTCAGCCTTTGCAATGTAAAGGCTGGACCTGGTGTGTAGGGACATGGTTTAGTGGGTGACATTGGTGATGCTTGGACCAGATGATCTCGAAGGCCTTTCCCAACCTTAATGATTCTACATCCAAATTTTGCTTGCAGCATGCACACGTGCAAAAGTCCCTCTCTGCCAGCTCCTTGAAGGTCTGTTTTTGTGAGGCTTAGGCAGCAATCTGGGGTTAGCACCTCATCTAGCCAGCACCGCTCTAAAAGCATAGATCTGCTGCTGCTGCACAGAAGCATTAAAACATAAGACAACAGAGTCAGTTTTGATTTAGGATCAATAAGCAGATAGAAGCAGCTCTAAATAAGTTATGCTGGGAGTAAAAATAGCAGAGAATGCGATGTAATCCAAAACACGGCAAGAAATCTAAGTACTTCAAATGCCCAGTCAATTAATTTGCTTTCATAATACAATTATTTGTATTATTAAGAGAAACTCATTTTCATGGATGAAATTTACTCAGACTAACATAATTCACATTTCATTCCCAGATTCCTATTAGAGAAAATAGATCTCAAGGCAGATGGTATGAGTCTGAATAAGCTGTATAAAAATAAAGCTGATGTCCTTGTGAGGTTAATGACTGCTGAGGAAAAAAACAAAAGGCATTTCTCCAGTAAGGTGCTAAACAAAAATTACATTTGTAAGATAATCCATAAGGAGGAAAGAGAGATTCCTGCTCTTTGCTTCTGAGCTGCTATCATTTGAATATTGTGTAGACTTATTACAAAATTAGCATGTACTCAGAAAGGGTTCAGAGAAAGATCAGATGAAGTTAGATAGAAAATAACGAGATTTACATTGGAAAAGAAGGCGAATAAAAAGGGCACAATAAAAATGTGTAAATAGATGTGGCGATGTAAAAAAAAAAAAAAGTAGATCTGGACCTCCTGCTATCTGTGCCTCCTAAAATGAGAGCAAGAGGTGGAAGGAGCAGAACTGGTGAAAGGAAGCACGATGAGCACGAAGAGCGGTATCGGTGTCACAGTAAGGCCGGGAGTTTTGGGGGGTCTGAAAGTGTTTGGCCCTTCTGGCTCCCACACAACCTCATCGTGGTCCACACAGGCCTGGGGTCCTGCGAGGCCATCTCCCACTCCGTAAGGGGGCACAGCCACAGCCCCCCAGCTCGCCCAGGCTGTGGGCGATGAGGGCAGCTCCCTCCTCTACCTCAGCTTGGTGGATGGGATGAATGTGAAGGGCCACCTACTGCCAACAGTGACTGCCTCTTGCTGCATATGTTCAACTGGTGGGTCTTCAGGCCTCAAGCTCAGGGCCTGGAGAGCTCACAGAGGCTTAAGCCAGTTGATTCTCCCATGATTCACACTCCTACCTTGACAAATTCTTCCTCCTCATTCCCCGTTTCTGCCCCAGCACAGCAGGACTCACGCTGCTGGACATGGTAGCACGAACTCAGCCGTGTCGGTGCTGCTGCCAGCAGCCTTCAGAGGTCACGGCACCACCAGCAGCAGAGCCGAGCAGGCCTGCGTATTTACCCTGTGCTCCCGAAACACTGATTAAAGTTACCCATGACAAAGAAAGGGAATTGCACTTTGCTAAGTGCCCATTTCATTTAAACCCAGGCAGCGTTCACAATGAGCCTGTCAAGCAGTTCAGAGCGGGTCGGCCTGGATCTGTGCAGGCCCGTGGTGTTCCCTGAGAACTGCTTGCACACAATCTGGAGTGATTGCAAGTAGCAATTAACTACCAGCAATTAACTAATGCCACAACTCGACGGGTCAGGAGCGTGGTGCTGTTCTGACCCCGGCTCACGTCACAGCAGCCCACGAGTTGCACGGTCGCTGGTTCCGAGCCTTCGGGCCTGGCAGAGGGGCACCAGAGAAGACCACCCACGCAAAACCCACCTAAAAGCTGCCCTGGGAGTCTCAGCTAATTACAGACTTGAAAAATTATTTCCACCTTTCTGTGGCTCTTTCCCCCTTCGTAAAATAAGCAGCTCCTGAAAGGATGGCTGGTGCTGACAACACCACGTAATGCATGTACGTAAACGGAGCCTTATCAGGAGGGTGCACAGTTATTTAAACAGACTCGTTTTATGGCCCCGCCAGTCACATGCAACAGGTTTCTATAGGAACCGAATTTATTTCCGTAATAACAAGTCAAGCTACCTGTCAATGTAATGAGGGTTTTAGGGAGCAGCTCCAACTCTAAAGCACTGGGGTGGACGTTTTGGAGTAGTTCAAGTGGCAGCAAAATGACATTTCCAGCACAAGGTTCTGAGTACAGGGTGCACCACCCGGATTTCCATTGCTTTTGATATTCAGAAGAATGCAACAATTAACTTCATCTCCTTAAACACACTCATGCACCCAACTCCTGTGGGCCAAACTTTCCTTTCACTTCAGAGCATTAGAAAATAGTATTTTGCACACCACAATCCCAAGTGTGGTGGAGCAGGGGATGACAAAAGTCTCTCTTGGACAGCTTTAACCTCTGGAACAGTCCCGTTAATCACTGTATTTGGCAACCCCAGGCCCTAAGGGTAAGAAAACAGACCGAAAGCAACAGCATATGGAAGAGGGGTCACACCAAGGACTAAGGCTTTTTCCTGCATTAGAAAGGAATGAAAGGTATTGTGGATATTATTGACTTTATTTTAAGAGAGATTCTGCTTTGAGCAGAGGTTTGTGTGTGCACCCCGGTTGTGTTTCAGCATGATGTAAAAGCAGTGCTTCAGTAAAAGAGAGACAGAGGATTGAAGGCTGAAACTTGGAAAAGCATTAATTTTCAAAGCATTCCTCTTACCCTGGTCAACAGAGAGATGCCGAGGACTGAGAATGTCAATAGACTCCAGCAGGACTACAACCCCAGCTGTTCTTGGCTGCCTAATCAATACACCACTCAAACACATCCCAAGGAGATGGGGACACTTTGAAAAACCCTGTTCGAGAAGGATTTATTTCAAAAATTTATTTAAGAAACACAACAGGATCACTTTGTCTTCATTATTTATTTGGCAATAAAATTCAAAGCTCGTAAGAGTTACAGTAAGGTTTTATTTAAAAAAATATTCAAATTTAAGAAATCAAAACTTGGTGTAGAAAGTGAACAAAGCTTGCTCTGTGAAGTTTGCATTAAGGACTGCAGATAGTTAAAAGGTCATGAGAATGTTTATTACAAATTCATAGTAAAGACTGTAGATGTACAGATTAGACCAGGATTATATTAACTGCTCCAGTTATAGTCTTGCTGTTTAAAAAACAATCACTAAGAATACTTGAGAAAATGCTTCAGCAAACACAAGGAAGCACTATCCTACTCAATGCTCAAATTTTTGTCATCTTCTCTCCCTTTCCCTAATCGTAGGCCCTTGCAGGCAGAGGTACACCTGCTGGTGGAAGCCCTCCACAAACCCTCTTGAAGCACGTTATTTACAAACCTGCTTCTCTTAATCATCCTTCAGAAAAACTCACAAAGGCCAAGGACTGCAGGCTGAAAGGCAGCAGCATGGAGCACTTGAAGCTATATCCCAGCATGGATTCAATCCAACAGGATCCTTCCTCCCTACTACTGCTCCTGCTGTTACTGAGAGATGTGCTGAACAAAGCAGCAAAATATATATACCAAATATATACCCATATAATATAACCTTGCCAAATATATACCCATAAAGCAATTTCATAAGTAGTCTGTTTGTGGTAAACACCTGAAGTAAGAAACACCACAGAAAAGACACAGAAGTTGAAGTGAACAGTGTCAGAAATACCAGTGTTACAGGTAAGAGGCCTTAATTACTGGTAAGAACATCTTGTCAACTTCCAGAGCATCAAGCTTTATTCTAATTACTTGCTCACTGATGATCCACGCTTCAGAGAAGCACATTAGGACTTAATTCATTTAACACAGGCATTTTATTTCCTTACTTTGAAAACAGCCAGGAATAAAACACAGTAGCTTATTAAAACTCCATTGCATGGAGGAAAAAAAAACACCTTTCAGTTCATAACTTAGAAAACAGTTAAGACAGCTCTTCACAACTCAAGGGTAATTAAGATCGTTAGTACTACAGAAGTTCAAGCCATTACCGAAAAATGGATGTGCTGGAACTTCTGCACTGTTTTGGCAGAAAGCAAATATTTGTTCCAGTCCAGTTGAGGGATGAGCTTGGTAAGCACTGCAGACCTAACTTTTATCATCATAATGTACATATTGATTATGAAGGAACAAATGCAGAAACTGGAAGCTAATACAGGCTCCGGTGAAAAACATCTGCTGTTTTAGAAGTGACCTATGGAAGCTTTGAATTAATACCATCATTATGGAACAATAATTTTCAAGAGCCTTCCTGGGAAGGGAACATGGGAGTGAACTGAAGGACCTGAGCATTTGCTATCACAGTAAGTTCACCTAAGGTGAAAGTGAGTGGTAAAAATGCTAATGTCCCTTGGTTGCTGCCAGCTGAGTGGGGGTACCCTTTGCCAGAAGACTCCCTGCCTTCCACTTTGGAACCATCATAGAAACTGCTATGCAAGTAAGCTCAGGTTTTAATAAAAGCAAATCAAGAGGGCTTGTATTAGCAATTACTGGCCAGGCCCTTGAAGGGAGACAGGTGAATTCCTCCTTTTAAACTCTGCCCCTCAAAGGGAAAGCAGCAGGCCAGCAATCTCTGTCAATATGCAGAAAAGAATTTCTATGTATAGGTATGAATATACAGAAGTTGCACCACCAGCTTTAAGTACACTTTTCCCCTCTGAAGGAAGAGGTCTTTAGAAATGAAGTTACATGTGTAACAGTGAGAATAAGGCAAACATATACAGACCTTCTCAGAAGGTTTGCAGTGGTCACTAGTAAGTGAAACTAATCCAGGAGCTCCCTAAGCTCATTTGAGTTTGCAAATGGCTTTAAGAAATGCACTTATTTTCCAGTCACTTCACTAGTTAACAGGTTAATCTGTCCAATTAATGAGTTGTACCATCATAAAAGCAAAGAAAAAAAAAAAAGCAAAACTTCAGCATTATACAAGAACAGGAACTTTGGGGAAAAAACAATCCAAAACAACTATAAAGTGAATAGGGCAAACATTTGCATTAATCTGGGTATGCTTGATCATTCAGGGAAAGATTCCCTACAAACAACGCAGAGCCAGCCTGGTTTTAGTATCAGTCTGCTTTTATTTCCATATTCAGCTCTTTAAGGGAGACATCCTTTCACAATCTGAAAGGAGGAGGATATAGCCCGCTGTAGTGCTGCTTCAGCACACTAAAACACATCATACGAAAAATGGTTCTGGTGACTTTTCCCCAAACAAAGTGAACACCTGTCCATGCACTTGGGACATAAAAAGAGTCCTGGAACAGAAACATTGTGTGTGTGGGTTTGTGTAAGAGATGTCAACTGAGGAATTTCACTTCACTGACAGTCGTCAAAAAACTGCCAGTTGGCAAGTACTGCACAGGAGTCAGGAAGTAAATACTGGTAATTAGTGGATTTAAAAAGAAAATTGAACCCTAAAAAAAATTTAAAAGCAGCGCCTTTTCAGTATCTCACTGCAGCAGGCAGCAAGACTTAAAGGCACTACAATGTGTCAGAATGGAGAAAATCTGATGCATCCACCCTTCCAGAGTGCAAGAATATGGATTAAAAATTCCAACGTAGGCTTTCTGAAAACGAACAAACTTCTTTTTAGCACAAGATATGGCGGTGCTGCGGAAAAGGAAAAAAAGAGATGAGTCAGTTACTGTGCCTTATACAAACAGCTCGACCTTAACCACAGATGTTATCTCATAAAAAGCTACAAAAGCATGTGTTTCACCTGCTCTTAAACTGTTTAAGTCTAGAAACTACATAGCTTCTTTCCCTCCTTCTTCCATAAAAGATCTCCCACATCCAGGACACAAACTAGAAACTAGATCTAAATACAACTGCAAATATCAAGGCTATTAGTTTTTCTTTAGGTACAAGAGGTATACTGCTCTTTCATTTTGGCTCCTTAGATACCAGGAAACTACTACAGAACTGTACAGTGACAGCTGCAAAAGGCATGCTTCCAGTCTCCACTTCCTTACACAAAGTCCTAAACATGACAGAGCAGGAATGCAATCCAATTTTTAAGTCCTACACGAGTGCCTTCACAAACTATTTCCTTCTGAACATAAATTTCAAGCTCTTCAGAAGACAACCTTCTGCATCAGCTGCTGAAACTACCCTGTTTTCAACACACAACTATACCATATGAATTCATGAAGCAGAACTGGGACAAGCACTGGATTGAATAAAGACTCCAGCAACAAGCAGCAACAGTGAGAAAGTGCTGCTACCCAAATTCTAACCAACGTTTCTAGAAAATGACAGCAGATTTCAAGTGGATATTTAAACATCTGCTTAGAGTTATATCAGCCCATAGTCAACTTGCTTTATCTTTAGCATGGTATTTAAAGCCCTGACCAGTATTAACTACCATAACATTCTTACGAAAAGCAAAATTCCCATCTAATACTA